TGCTTGCAGGTGGCAAAGAGCAGAAGAGGCAGGGAACTGAAATCATGACATTCTGTGCTCGTTTAGAGCGTTTATAGTTTAGAAACATAATTTAGAATATTGCAAGAGTGTGGGAAGGGTTTAAAACACCTTTATATACTGAGAGTTGTTTAACTTCCATAATTCCATTTCAAAAGTTGATCTGTCATAGATGATAGATTCAGGGCTCACAATTTAAATGATTTCAAGTATTTATTTGTTTATTTTTACATAATTTGGGCTTCCAGCTCATGAAACCCACGAAAACAGGAATTCAAAAAAATTGGAATACTGTGGAAAACTCAGCCCAAATTTTTCAGGGCATGAATGTTTTAAACTGATTCTGACACACTAATCATCTACTAAACTCAAAGCGCTTGCACAGGTTTCCCCAGGTGTCGTTAAATTACTGCAGATTGGTTCATTTGTCTCAGTTCGGTTCAGTATGGGGAAGACTGCAGACATAACTGGCCAGAAGACCATCATTGATCATCTTTTTTTTCTCTCTCTGTACTCCAGTGAAGTCAGACATGTCTCCCGGCGCTCCATAACCACCCGCTTCCCTGCTTGCACTCTTTCGTCCTGTGAACCCTTAAAGAGCCTCTTTTTTTTTTCTTTTTGCATACCTTCCTAATTTGAATGATCAGCTGGTCTCTCAACAAAATTGATCAACTTCTCCCGACAGGAGTCAGAATAAGGAGGACCCTCTTACCTCGACGGAAACAAATGGAATTCATGATGACAACTGTTTTTTGGGGTTTTTTGCTGTTTGGCTTGGTGAAATCTGGATTGTCTACAAATTTGTGTGGATGTGTCGAAGCTCGGCAGCACTCAGACTGAATTATGTGCAGCTGCGTCAAGAGAGCTGGATGGAGCAGCTGTTATCAGGACTGTGGACTCTAGAAGCACACATGAAGGTGGTAATAATCTTGGAGAAGCTGTGAGCTCGACTTTAAGGAATCAATTCGGCTGTTTGGAGTTTCCATTAGAGGAATATACCAGCGAGACTTTCAAAGGCAGAAACAGCAATTCACGAGTTCTGCCTGACCCAAACGGTGGACTTATCTCAACTCCTCCTGGCATGTTTTGATTAAAAAAAACAAACAAAGATGCTCTGTGTCTCCTCACCCCTCTTTTCCCCAAGGCTGTGGACATGTGACGGAACCTCAACTGAGCTGATGACAAATAACACCTCTTATCTGGACAATGGCTTGTGGGGTGTGTGTGTGTGTGTGTGTGTGTGTGTGTGTGTTGGGGGGGGGGGGGGGGGGCTCTGGACTATGCTAGGAACTTCCCTTAAAATTTAATGTCTTCACCAGCCTATATGTACATGTATCACGTCTATTTAAGTTGCTTTGCTGTGGTAGGTTTTTTTGATGCCTCAAATTGTGCCCTGTCTAGGACACGATGTGAGAGATCTTTTTTTATACCGTCTCTCCTCATGTCTTCTTCACTTTTGTCATATAAGCAAAATATTATTCTGAACAATAAGAGGGCCGCGCTTTCATAGTAGCAGCTTTGTGCACTCCGCCCATCTTTGGGACGACTGTACGTACATGTTCTCGTTGTATCTCGGTGCAGTGATGAACCTTATTCTGATTCTGATTCTGATACCCTCCATAGGATGGGTAAGCCACAAAAGTTCATAGCTAAGGAGGCTGGCTGTTCACAGAGTGCTGTGTCCAAGCATATCAGTGGAAAATCTAGTGGAAGGGCAAAATATGGCAAGAGAAGATGCACCAGCAAAAGAGGTGACCGTGGACTTCAGCGGATTATCAAACAGAGAAGATTTCAGAATCTGGCAGAGATCCAGAAAGAGTGGAATGAGGTGGGAGTCACAGCTTCAAAAACCACCACATCAGACGTGTCCGGGGGATGGACTACAACTTTTGGGTTCCTCTGTCCTCTTTTCCAATGAAAGCAAAGTGTGACTTTCATTCGGAAATCAAGGTCCAAGGGTTTGGAGGAAGAAGGGTGAAGAAAAGAACCCATACTGCTTGAGGTCCAGTGTGAAATATCCACAGTCAGTCATGATTTGTGGTGCAATGTCCAGTGCAGGTGTAGGTAAACTCTGCTTTCTTAAATCCAAGGGCACCTCAACAGTCTTCCAGAATGTTTTAGAGGACTTCATGATTCTTTCTGCTGAGGATCTGTATGGAGATGCAGATTTCATCTTCCAGCAGGACCTGGCCCCTGCCCATGCCGCCAGAAGCACCAAAACCTGGTTTTGATGCCCATGCCACAGTGCTTAACTGGCCAGCCAACTGGCCGGACCTAAACCCCATTGAGAATCTATGGGGTCTTCTCAAGAGGAACATGAGAGGCACCAGACCCAACAACAAAGAAGAGCTGACAGCATCAAGGAAATCTGGGCTTCCATAACTTCCAGTCAATGCCACAGGCTGATTGTCTCAATGCCACGTCACATCGAGGCAGAGATTAAGACAAAGGGATTCACAACCAAGTATTGAAGACTGACATATCGTTTTGAAAGTACCATATTTTGATTGATTTGTTGTGATCCTAATTTATGTATTTCTTATTTTTTTTTTTTTTTTTTTTTTTTGTGAGTGGAAAAACTGAGTAGTGTGTGATGATGTCTTTACAGTATTCTAATTTTTTGAAATCCTGTTTTCATGGGTTTCATGAGCTGGAAACCCAAATTATGTAAAAATAAACAAATAAATACTTGAAATCGTTAAAATTGTGGGCCTAGAGTCTATCATCTATTAAATATTAACTTTTTGATCGGAATTATGGAAGTTAGACAACGTTTTCATGATATTCAAATTTTTGGAAAGGGTCTGTATGTGTGTGTGTATATATGTATATATATATATATATGTATATGTATATATATATATATATATGTATATGTATATATATATATATATATGTATATATATATATATATATATATATATATATATATATATATATATAT